AGTTTATTAATATATATATATTTTTCACTTTTTCATCTTTTTCTCGTTTCTATCAGTTGTAGCGTTTTTGACTTCCGGTTTTCCAGACATTTTCAGTCCTTGTTAATTCTTTTTCAATGCTTAAATGATAAGGTAAATACTTATATATGTTTTCGCTTGGCCATTATTTCGCTTTCTTATCTGATTTGGTGCTATCTTAATATTAGTGTTTTTAATTAAATTTTTATTTATTATTGTTTGAATTTGTATGCATGGGCTTGCATTAATACGTTTACACACGCGCAAACACACTCATATATATACATACATGTACATATGTAGATTTATATGAGATAACGATGTATATTTTTATATATCAAGACCAGTATTTGGAAAAATTTATGACAAAGTTGAAAAAGTTTTCCCACTGTGTCATAGATATATCTATAAACATAGGATGACAAATTAGAGAAAAAGTTAGGATTTCATCGGATTGGGCTTTTTTGATGCTGCCATGTTTACTTACGTCCATGAAACGAGAGATGCTGGTAGTTTCAAAGTTTTTGAAAGAATATTTTTTAACAATATTTTTTAAACAATATTTTTTCTCTCTCTCTCTCTCTCTCTCTCTCTATATATATATATATATATATATATATATATATATATATATATATACAAACGCACGGACACAAACACATGCAAACGTACGTCGTTGCTTTGTTATTAATATATAAATTAATGTTATACTTTACCAACACGGCAAACACATTTTTTCACTATTTACATTATTCGGATTATTGTCCTCATCTCTTGTCGCCATATTTATTACAACGTTTCGGCCGCTGTACGCTCCGGCCTTCTTCAGGTGATTGGAATGTCCAACTTAACCTTCTATTTCGCTCACTGGGGTACAATTCGCCCTTGCATGGAGTATTGCTGCCATATATGGTCTGGAGCCCCTTCTGTTTGATTCAGGGTTCTTGATAAGCTCCAGAGGCGGATATGCAATATAATTGGCCCTGTTCTGGCATCTCGTCTACAGTCACTTTCTCACAGACGCGCCGTCGCCTCTCTCTGTCTTTTTTACAAATACTTTCATGGTAATTGCTTCGAGGAGCTGCTTTCGCTGGTTCCCAGACTTCATGAGTTCAAGCGCCCTACGAGGCTGGCATCCCGCTCTCACCATTTCACTGTCGAAACTCCTAAATGTTGCCGTCTCTTCTACTCCAATAGCTTCATGTCTCGCCCCTCTCACCTGTGGAACTCCTTTCCCTATTCCAGTTTCCCTGAGAGCTATAATCTCCAACTATTCAAATGTAATGTCAATTGACATCTCCAGTTGCCTTGATCTACCCACTATCCTTCTCCTCATCCTTTCCTCTATCACTCCTATCTGATCTTGCTCCAAATCTTCTGTAATCCCTTGCGTCCTTGTGGCTTCCCACCTTGCTTGGGGTGAAACGCTTAAAAAAAAGAAGAGTGTTCTAGTTCCATGTACCATGTTTTAATGGATGTCAGTTGTCAGTTATCTCCTGTTAATTCACTTCTCCAAGTTCTCCACTGCCTTAACCAGGTATTAAACTCACACTCTTTGGGTCCTGTCACTGGATCTAACCAACGCCTTTATCCACTGTGCCATTCGTCCTTGAGGAGCGTACAACGACCGAAACGGTGTAATAAATCTGGCGACAAAGATGAGGACAATAGTCCGAATAATGTAAATAGTGTACATAATACCTCATCTCAGAAATATAGACAGATACTGAAAGGCCGAAACGTTATAATAAATATGGCGACAAAGATGAGGACAATAGTCCGAATAATGTAAATAGTGTACATAATACCTCATCTCAGAAATATAGACAGGTACTGAAAGGCCGAAACGTTATAATAAATATGGCGACAAAGATGAGGACAATAGTCCGAATAATGTAAATAGTGTACATAATACCTCATCTCAGAAATATAGACAGATACTGAAAGGCCGAAACGTTGTAATAAAATGGCGACAAAGATGAGGACAATAGTCCGAATAACGTTGTACATAATACCTCACCTCAGATATATAGACAGATACTGAAAAGGCCGAAACGTTGTAATAAATATGGCGACAAAGATGAGGACAATAGTCCGAATAATGTAAATAGTGTACATAATACCTCATCTCAGATATATAGACAGATACTGAAAGGCCGAAACGTTGTAATAAATATGGCGACAAAGATGAGGACAATAGTCCGAATAATGTAAATAGTGTACATAATACCTCATCTCAGATATATAGACTCTGAGGCCGAAACGTTGTAATAAATATGGACGACAAAGATGAACAATAGTCGAATAATGTAAATATTACATAATACCTCATCTCAGATATATAGACAGATACTGAACGGCCGAAACGTTGTAATAAATACGGCGACAAAGATGAGGACAATAGTCCGAATAATGTAAATATTGTACATAATACCTAATCTTAGAAATGTAGACATTTTTTTATATCACCACCTTTCACAAAACTCAGACTTAAAGAATTTAATATCTGCATACCTGCTGCCGATGAAATTTCTAAGGAAAGGAGGCTTGGAGAATTTGACACTAGTAGGACATATTAAAAACAAGAGAGATAAAGGGGAACAGAGAGTAACCTACTTTTTGAGTTTGTGGCAGAAAAGGGGGAGTGACAGTGAAAAGATAAACCCTACTACGAAGGATGTGAAGCTGTGGAGAGCACTATTCTCACCATAGTGAAGGCAAGAGGAAAAAAGGGGAACAGAGAGTTACTTAACTCTTTAGCTTGTAACAGAAGAGTGATAGTGACGGCGAAAAGAGAGACTCTATTACGAAGTATATAAAGCTGTGGAGAGCTATAATCTTACCATATTGATGGCAAGAGGGTCAAAGGGGAACAGCGAGTAACCTACCTAACGAACTTGTGTAAGTGGGTGGCAAAACAGGGACTATGAGGGGGAGTCAGGATAAAAATATTACTAAGAGCCACAAAGGATAGGAACTTGTGGAGAGCCGTGACCACCAACGTCATAAAAGGGGAAAGTATGATTCTTAGAAAGAAAGAAAAAAGAAAGATGAAAATGAGAAAAGTGTCATAAGAATTAAAAGTAAGAAAGAAAGAAATGCAAATCTTAGAAAGAAAGAAAATAGAAAGAAAGAAAGAAAGAAAGAAAGAAAGAAAGAAAGATCAAAAGGAAAAAGGTGTCATAAGAATTAAGAAAGGAAGAAATGCAATTCTTAGAAAGAAAGAAAAAAGAATAAAATGAGAAAAGTGTCATAATTAAAAGAAAGAAAGAATGCAAATCTTAGAAAGAAAAAAGAAAGAAAGAAAGAGCAAAAGTAAAAATAAGACGTAAAAGTGTCGAAAGAAGGAATGAAATGCAAAGCGTAAAATGAAAGAAAGTAAGAAAGAAAGAACAAAAAATGAAGAAAGAAAGAAATGCAAAAGCGTAGAAATAAAGAAAGAAATAACGATAAAGCGAAGAAAGAAAGAAAAAAAGAAAGAAAGACCAAAAGGAGAAAATAAGTGTCTTAAAGAAAGAAAGAAAGATATGCACTGCGTAGAAAGAAAAAAAGAAAGAAAGAAAGAAAGAAAGAACGCCAAACCAATAAAGAATGAACTAAAGAAAGGAGAAGAGGGAAAGAAATAAGGAAGTAAAGAAGGAGTGAAGGGAGACTCAAGAGAATAATAAGTGACGATGAGAAAGAATTGAGATTAAAGTGAGATGAATGCAAGTCAAAATCTAATATAAATGTTTCGTCTAATAGGGGAGACTGATCGGTGCGTAGGGCGAGTCGAATCAATTTAGCATTCTACCCGCCTAGTTAATATCAGCTCACAAGGTCTCATGTACACTCTGCCTATTTATATATGACAGAATCGGCGTAAATAACGCAGAAAGTCAGACAAACAGGGAGACTTTTACCACAAGCTTGTAGCGATAGGGGTTACCATTGTTGTTTATTTCCGACAGAATCACCAAATATGTAATGGTTGAGGTTAACATTGTTGTTTATTTCCGACGGGATCACTAAATAAGTAGCGGTTGTATTACCATTGTTGTCGTGAACGTCGAACGACGGACGTCGGGGTTGCCCATCTTGTAAGTGACGGTGTTACCAATACTTAACTTTGGTTAGGAAAGGTGGGATTAAGGACAATGCGTGAACGCAATGCAATTTATATTTGACGTAAATAGCACATAGAATAAAATACAAAACTGAACGGAATGATTTCAAAACATAACCGTTGAATTTATTAATGTTTGATGTACATGCATGCGAACTGAAAAGGTAGGACAAAGTCGTGTCCCTTTGATTAGTTATTAGTTGTACCTGAGTTCATATTAAGAGGAAGTAATATTAAACTTGTAATTTGTGAGTTGCAAAGTTGGTAAAAGTTCAGGAGTGACTTCAGATTTTGTGAATGTTGGTAATTGTCTTTAACGTCTGGCCAGCAATGGCTAAGACGGGAGTTCTTGAAGGTTACATTTTGGCACTTGGTAGCAAGGAATGAGACGTGCGAGAAAGATGAATGAAAAGAAAACTCGAGGCAGCTTACACGTGTTGAGTTTATATAATGGTCGTGAGGCTCCCAGCATATGAGCTGGAAAACAGATTGGTCGCGTGCAAGCGGTTTGATTGGTCGGAACTGACCAATCAGCAAGCTAGATTGGAGGTGATTGACCAATGAATACTTGTTATATTTGTATGAAAGTAGGATGTTACTTACCAGATAGGAAGAATGCATTTCATAAAAAGAGGTAAGGCTGGTTTGTTGTGGAAGATCCCACAAGCTGATATTAACGGGGTGTGTTTGAGCCCGTCGAAAGCTAAAAGAGAAAATATTTGTTTCCTCTACCTTTCTAAATGTCTAGTTGATGATAGGGCAGCGCATGTTCAGGAAAGCGGGAGTAACCAGTATATCTACAAAAGGTGCTAGATTCCCGACCGCTTACATATAATGTGAAGGAAACTATAAGTTTCGGACTGGCTAGAAAGTGGTTCTACATGGTTCCGATCAGACTGCCAATATGTGGAACTGTCTTTCGCCCTGGTGCTATTCCATGAAAGAAAGACTTAACAAAGAAAGAAAGAAAGAAAGAACGAAAGAGTGACAAAGCGAATAAAGGAAGACGGAAAGTAACAAAGAAAGACCAAAAGGAAAAAAGAAGACGTAAAAAGAAATAAAGAGAGAAAAAGAGAATGAAAGAAATACAAAGCGAAGAAAGAAAGAAAGAAAGAAAGAAAGAAAGAGAGATCAAAAGGAGAAAAGTGTCAAAAGAAATAAAAGTAAGAAAGAAAAATACAAAGAAAGAAAGAAATAAAAAAAAAGAAAAGAAATAAAGAAAAAAAAAAAAAAAAAAAAAAAAGAAAGAAAGAAAGAAAAAAAATAAGAAAGAAAAGCGTAAAGAAAAGAAAAGAAAGGGAAAAAAGACATAAAAGGGTCGAAAGAAAAAAGAATAAATTGCAAAGCGTAAAGAAAGAAAGAAAGAAAGAAAGAAAGAAAGAAAAAGCAAAATGGGAAATAAAATAAAGAAAGAAACAACCAAAAAGAGAGAGAGAATGGGTTGAAAGAAAGAAAGAAAGAACGAATGAATGAATGAATGAATGAAAGAAAGAAAGAAAAAAAAAAAAATGCAAAGCGTAGAAATAAATAAATAAAGAAAGACCAAAAGGAGAAAAGAAGACATACAAAGTGTGAAAAGAAAGAGGACATGCACTGCGTAGAAAGAAAGAAAGAAAGAAAGAAAGAAAGAAAGAGACAAACAAACAAATAACGACAAAACCAACAAACAACGAAAGAAAGGAGAAAAAGGAAAGAAATAAGGAAGTAAAGAAGGATAGAAGGGAGGGAGAAAAAAAAAGGAAGAAATAAGGGAGAGATGGTGATAGAAGGAGGAGAAAGAGGAAAGGCTAAAAGCAGGGAGGGAGTTGACGAAAACAGGAAGGATGGATAGAGAGGGAGAAAGGAAAAGAATGAAGAAAGGAAGGAATATAGACAGCAGAAGTGAGAGAAAGGAAAGGAGAGAGAAATGAAAGAAAAGAAAGGTCGGTAAAAAAGGGAAGGTTTTGATGGTATTTATCAATTCACCCACAGGAATTGAATGTGGCACAAGGCCTTTTTAATGTGGGTATGTCTGAGCCCGTAGGCCCAGCCAAAAATAAAACCCATCTAAACCCGTCCAAGCGGGCTAGTTCCGTCAACCTCCCCGAACGAAACCCTACCCTTCGGCAGAGCTTCGTCCGGGTTCCCCTCTGCAAGCAGAGAGTTCGACAGACACCCGACCCGGCAGCTCACAAAGCGCAGATACTACACTTTGATCCTAGCCACCGGGCCGAGCGGGTATTCTTTTTATAGATACGGAAGGTTTTGATGCTTGCTACCATGGGGTAGCTGTCAAGGAGATAAGCAAATACTTGAAACCAGTGTTGGCCCTGTAGACAGAGGGGCGTGCCAAAAAATGAGTTCTCAGTATTTATTCATATCCTGGAGTCACCTGTAAAAAAAAAAAAAAAAAAATTCTTAACTTAAAAAGAAAGAAAGAAAGAAAGAAAGAAAGAAAGAAAGAAAGAAAGAAAGAAAGAAGGAAAGAAAGAAGGAAAGAGTAAGTTGATAATAAAAAGAACGAGGAGAAAGTGGGTCAGTGTTAAGAAATAAAAGCGATGTAAAAAGAAAGAAAGAAATAAAGAAAAACAAAAAAGCAAAAAAGAAAAAAGAGGAAAAATTGTTCAATATTAAGAAAAGGCGATAACTTAAAAAGAAAGAAACAAAAACAGAAAGATATAGATTGTAGAAAACAGTAAAAGGCATACAGATTTTAAAGAAAGAAAGAAAGAAAGAAAAAAGACAGATAGATACATACATACATGCATACATACATGCATACAAAGCATAAATGCATACATAGTACATAATATGAATGTACCCAAACAAAGAAAAAAAGAAAGAAAGAAAGAAAGAAAGAAAAGAAAGAAAAATTGTTGATTGATAGGGAAGACAAAGTCAAAGAAAGAAAGAAAGAAAAAAGAAAGAAAGAAGAAAGAAAGAAAGAAAAGAAAAAAAAGATAGATAGATAGATAGATAGATAGATAGATAGATAATATTACCATGTACTCTACAGAAAGAAAGAAAGAAAGAAAGAAAGAAAAGAAAGAAAGAAAGAAAGAAAGAAAAAAAAAAGACAGAAAGATACATACATACATACATACATACATGCATACATACATGAATACATAGTCATTACCCATCACGCCTACACAAAGGAAGAAAGAAAGAAAGAAAAGAAAGAAAGAAAGAAAGAAAGAAGAAAGTCTGATTGATAGGGAAGATAAAAGAAAGAAAGAAAAGAAAAGAAAGAAAGAAAGAAAGAAAGAAAAGAAAGAAAGAAAGTCTGATTGATAGGGGAAGACAAAAGAAAGAAAGAAAGAAAAGAAAGAAAGAAAAGAAAGAAAGAAAGAAAAAGATAGATAGATAGATACATACATACATACATACATGCATACATACATGCATAATACGTACATAATACCCATCACGCCTACCACAAAGAAAAGAAAGAAAAGAAAGAAAGAAAGAAAAGAAATATTGAAAAGACAAAGAAAAAAGAAAGAAAGAAAGAAAGAAAAAAAAAAAGAAAGAAGAAAAAAATAGAAGATAGATAGATAGATAGATAGATAGATAGATAGATAGATAGATAATATTACCATGTATCCATCACGGCTACACAAAGAAAGAAAGAAAGAAAGAAAGAAAGAAAGAAAGAAAGAAAGAAAGAAAGATAGATAGATAGATAGATACATACATACATACATACATGCATACATACATGCATACATACGTACATCCATCACGCCTACACAAAGAAAAGAAAGAAAGAAAGAAAAAGAAAGAAAGAAAAGAAAGAAAGAAAGAAAGAAAAAAAAAAGAATTCAGTCTGATTGATAGGGAAGACAAAGAAAGAAAGAAAGAAAGAAAGAAAGAAAGAAAGAAAAAGAAAGAAAGAATTCAGTCTGATTGATAGGGAAGACAAAGAAAAGAAAGAAAGAAAGAAAGAAAGAAAGAAAGAAAGAAAGAAAGAAAGAAAGAAAGAAAGAAAAAAGAAAAAAGACAGATAGATAGATACATACATACATACATACATACATGCATACATACATGCATACATACGTACATAATACCCATCACGCCTACACAAAGAAAGAAAGAAAGAAAGAAAGAAAGAAAGAAAGAAAGAAAGAAAGAAAGAAAGAATTCAGTCTGATTGATAGGGGAAGACAAAGAAAGAAAGAAAGAAAGAAAGAAAGAAAGAAAGAAAGAAAGAAAAGAAAAAAAAGATAGATAGATAGATAGATAGATAGATAGATAGATAGATAGATAGATAGATAGATATCCATCACGGCTACACAAAGAAAGAAAGAAAGAAAGAAAGAAAGAAAAAAGAAAAAAGATAGATAGATAGATAGATCACATACATACATACATACATAATATTAGCATGTACCCATCTACACAACTCTGATTGATAGGGAAGACAAATCAAAGAAAGAAAGAAAGAAAGAAAGAAAGAAAGAAAGAAAAAAAGAAAGAATGAAAGAAAAAAGAAGAAAAAGAAAAAGATAGATAGATAGATAGATAGATAGATAGATAGATAGAGATAATAATATTACCATGTATCCATCACATACAAAAGAAATAAAGAAAGAAAGAAAGAAATAAAGAAAAGAAAGAATGAAAGAAAAAAAAGAAGAAAAAAGATAGATAGATAGATAGATAGATACATACATACATACATACATACATACATACATACATACATACATACATAAATAATATTAGCATGTACCCATCACGCCTACACAAAAGGTGAGCGAAAAAAGAAAGAAAGAATGATAGATTTAGTAAAGAGATGGAGGCCGCGTTAGAAGGAGAGCGAGAGAAAAAGAGAGAGTATGTTTTACAAACGCATACAAACTCACACGCACACATACATAAATAAATAGGCGCATGCGAGTATATACGTCTAACTTTTTTTTAGACAAAATGGCCGGCCGGCCAAACAGAGAAGGGATATTTTATTGCATTCGGTTTCCATGGAAACGACCAAAATTATATATTTATTGGTCGGAATACCTTCAGCTGAACATAATTCTACCATTATGCATAAAAGCTTATTGGTTGATTTTACTTTTAAACCCTTAATGTCAAATGTTGTATTGGGACAGCCAGTGAGGATCGAACTCACTACTCAATAATAACAGTTGACCGAAGTAACGTACTTAACTATTACTTAACTGTGACAAATAAGTATTCGCGAGAGATCAATTATTTTTTTTGATTTTTTGCCATCTAGAGCCATTTTATTAGGGTCTCTTCAGCTTAAAGGTTTTTTTTCTTTTTTTTTTTCTTTTTTTGATACTTCTTTTCGACCCGTTCGACTGATGTGTTAAGACAGAAGCACTAGAAGAGGTACTAACTTATTTTGACCCCGCTCATGCTAAGATATTCACCCCTCCAAATATCTTCCAAAATCTGGATATTAGACCAGCACTTCCACGGACACACAACGTGCAGAACCTGATTTATTGGGGGACAGAGGACTAGATCACGATGAAATGTTATTAAAATTCGTGTTAAATTGAAGCGCCTAAAATTCAGATGTAAATTCAGTTTATAGAAAAGAAAAGGGAAAAAGATTGTATCAAAGACAAAGGGAAACGAGAAGAAAGAAAGAAGAAAGAAAGAAAGAAAGAAAGAAAGAAAGAAAGAAAGAAAGAATGTAGAAAAAAAGAAAGGTAAAACGTAGAAAGAAAGAAAGAAAGAAAGAAAGAAAGAAAGAAAGAAAGAAGCAAAGAAGGAAGCAAAGAAAAAAGAAAAAATATCGTAGAAAAATTATTAAAAAAGAAAGAAAAAAGAAAGAAAGGGGAGGGGGAAAACAAAAGAAAGAAAGAGAGAAAGAGAGAAAGAAAGAAAAAAGAAAAAGAGAAAGAAAGGCAAAATGTAGAAAGAAAGAAAGAAAGAAAGAAAGAAAGAAAGAAAGAAAAGAAAGCAAAAGAAAAAGATAAAAGAAAGAAAAAAATGCAAAGGTAAAAGTAAAAGATTAAAAAGAAAAAAAAAAAAAAAGATGGAAAAAAAGAAAAAAGAAATTAAAGAAAAAGAAAAAAGAAAAGAAAGAAAGAAAGAAAGAAACAGGCAATGAAGGAAGCAAAGAAAAAAGAAAAATATTGTAGAAAAAAGAAAAAGTATTAAAAAAGAAAGAAAGAAAAAAGAAAGAAGAGGGGAAAAAACAAAAGAAAGAAAGAAAGAAAGAAAGAAAGAAAGAAAGAAAGAAAGAAAGAAATGCAAAGCGCAGAAAGAAAAAAAGAAAAAACACTCACAGCCGACGAAACTCACACGCAACGAATTATGCTTGCGCAGGTAACAAGGTAGAAAAACGGGAGAGAGAAGCGCGCATGCACACAGGTGAAAAAAAAAAGGAAGGTGGGAAACCAATTAAGGAAGTAAGCGAAAAAAGAAAGAAAGAAAAAAAAAGGCGGGTACGAAAAGGTAATGGGAGGGGAACGTTGATCACAAACCTTCAACATTATAACGCTGTAGTCTTTTTCCGCACAACACTGGACAATACAACCGGATTGCTGTTTGATTTCGAAAGCCATGAATTCACAACTGGTAATGATTTTTGTCTGTCTTCTCCCAGGATTCAGCTTACACGTTCGAGCAAGTAAGAACTCTCATATTTTGTTTGCTTGTTTGTTATTTATTTATTTATTTTATTTTATTTGGAGGGGGTGTAGGGAGCTTTCATTTCTTGCCTTTCTAGAGAGATTATTTTAAAAAGTGAGTTACCCGTTAATGAATTTAATAGAAACACGTATCTATGTGTATAATTTAAGTCTGAAATATTTGTTCGTCCAGAAACTTTGCCGCCCTGCCCTTGCACGAGATTAAAATAGTTTGCTAAAATTAACACCAGGCAAGGATCGGTTTTATTTCTTCTTCTTCTTCTTCTTCTTCTTCTTCTTCTTATTATTATTATTATTATTATTATTATTATTATTATTATTATTTTGTTTCTTTTGATTTCTGATGTGTACATATTTCTTGCCGGGTCCCGCCAAGGGACCTAAGGTTAGAAATGGCATCATGACGTTTTCCACTGCCCCAACAAGAAAAAAAAAAAATTTACATAGACAAAGCCCTTCGTAAGGTGTGGGCTGTACTCGTGTGAACAATTTTTTGTATTTCTTCTTCTTCTTCTTCTTCTTCTTATTATTATTATTATTATTATTATTATTATTATTTTCCTTTGATTTCTGTTGTATACTGATTTGCTTCCGGGTCCCAACCAGAGACCTAAGGTCAAAAATGACATCATGGCGTTTTCCACTGGACATATTTGTTAAAAAAAAATAAGTAAATAAAAAATTTAAATATTAAAAATCAATAAAAACAAACAACCTAATTACAGACATATTTTACATTGATAAAGTCCTCCCTGAGATATGAAATGTATTGAGGCAACATTTTTTTGTATTTCTTTAAGGCATGGGCCATTATTATTATTATTATTATTATTATTAATAATAATAATTTTAATTATTATTATTAATAATAATAATAATAATATTCATATACTTGAGGTCTCAGGTAAAAGACTTGATAAACGATTGTATCTGTAAAGAAATAACGACGATGATATTAATAAAATATTCTAAATATAGAAATAATATAGTAAACATGCTGATCTTATTCGAAATGAACAATTTAAACTACAAATTTTAAATTGCCGCCTCGTATACGAGTTAATCAACCGTCATGAACCGCTTAAGCTATTTTAAATGAATAAATTAGTAAAATTTCTAAAAAAAAATATTTAACCAGACGGTCGAAGTGACTTTTCTATCATTTAAAATTGAAAATGTCATTTGGAATACTTCGCTTGCTTATTATTTCAGAAAATGTATTTTCTTTTAAATATGTCTAGACGGAAATTTGTAATTTTATGTGCATTTTTTTTTATCTCTTGTTAAATTTTAATTTGAGAAAATAATACCTTTTAAATAAATAAAATGAAATGTTATAATCACTTAACAGAAAAAGCAACAAAATGTTTCATTTGCTAATAAAGATTAAAACAGCTGCAAATATATGATTAACGGCTTGGAGATAGATAGATAGATAGATAGATAGATAGATAGATAGATAGATAGATGACGGGAACAGACTCAGATAGATAGATAGATAGATAGATAGATAGATAGATAGATAGATAGATAGAAGATACTCAGATAGATAGATAGATAGAACAGATAGATAGATAGATGAGATAGATAGATAGATAGATAGATAGATAGATAGATAGATGAACGGAAGATGAACAGGTTTAGATAGATAGATAGATAGATAGAACATAGATTTAGATCAGATAGATAGATAGATAGATGGATAGATAGATAGATAGATAGATAGATAGATAGAACAGACTCAGATAGATAGATAGATAGATAGATAGATACAGAACAGACTCAGATAGATAGATAGATAGATAGATAGATAGATAGATAGATAGATTGAGGTGCCTTTATTTGTAGCATGTTTATGAACATTTGTGAGAATAACTAAAGAGAGAGAGTGTGTGTGTGTGTGTGTGTGTGTGTGTGTGTGTGTGTGTGTGTGTGTGTGTGTGTGTCTGTGTATGTGTGTGTCTGCAAAGAGATATCACACGTAGTAAAAACTTGTTGCTTTTCTGTCGTTATTTTTATTTAAAAATAAATCTTGAAAAACCTATCGCGTACCTATTATA